AAGGATGCAAGCCTTTAAAGGGTACTGAGCAGAATAGTAAAAGGACTAGATTTGCATCTTGTCTACAATGAAGCTTCATCCTACCTAAAGCGTGACTCCAGTTTGAAAATATGGTGCTAATAGCTCCTACCATTTTCTTTTTCTGCTGATTTTCATTCTGAATACAAATTTCTGCAGCATCCTCTTACTGATGAGGACCTCAGCAATATTATCTGAGAGCTGTACAGCACACTGCCTTCTTCAACAATTAACAGCTGACTGGAATTAGTTAAAGGATTATCACATAGTATTTCCTCCTCTTTCACTTTCGGCTTCTCTACATTTTATCCTTTACTACCAAGTGTCATATTCACCACAAACCAGAGAGGAAAACCAAAAAAAAAGGATTTAATTTCTTTCAACTGTTGCATTCACAATTCCAGATCTTAATATCTGGACATCCGTCAGAATAGAAGAACAAAGAGTTATGCATCTAAACATACAAAATTCATGATGAGAAATTAAATTACTCCCAAACTAAAATTCCAATAGAAACTAGTCCTACATTTATAAAAACTGGAGGACTTGGCAGTATCAGGAAGTGGTGAGTGTTACGTTTTTGTCAATAGTTTGCAGCTAGAGTAGTTCAAGCTCTCTTCACTTTTGTTAAACTGAGGGAGATGATGCTCTGATTTAGTTTTTCCTGTAACTTTATGTAGGGAATTTCTACTCAATCATAGTTTTCTGAAGATGCTGTGACTTCTTAGGTAGAATTCTTAGAACAGTCTAATTGACTGAAAAGAGCAGCATCAGCATTTTTAACTATGTAAAACTTTTTAAAATTCTATGGTTGTTTTATGGTTAGGGTGACCAGATTCTAACATCTGTAAGGCGGGACAACATGGGGGGAGGGCAGAGCGGGGGCTGAGCGGGGCGCAGGGCAGGGGATGGCGCAGAGGAGGGCCTGACAACAAGGCAAACTTTGATAGGCAGTTCTCGATAATCTCTTCTCAGCAATTATTTATTACAGTTTAACATTATAAAATTAACAAAAATAATATAAAATTCATATTCTGGCGAATAGCCATATGGTGGGCGAAAACCGTATATTCCCTTCTTGTTCTCCAGCCCCTTCTTTCCAAAAATCGGGACTTTTTTAAAAAGCCGCAGGACGTGGGACAAATTGTTGAAAAGCGGGACTGTCCCGCCAAAATCAGGACGTCTGGTCACCCTATTTATGGTACAACTTTTTAAAAATTCTATGGAGCTCTTTGCATGTTTAAGGAAGAAAAAAGCAACATTACTGTGACTCCCAGAGGCATTATTTCCTAAATTTAAAAAGATTATGCATAAATGATATAAAATCTTCAAATCAACTTTTCAATTAGAAATCAATAAGATAACAGTCCTTACAAAAACTAGTGATAGATGAATTCTTTCAGTATGTGGGAAGCAGTTTCAGTCTCCTATTTATAAGAAACTTCTGAATAAGATGGAGACTTTACCTCCTTCATGTTCACACGGATGGAGCTGGAAAATGTTCTTCTTAGCAAAGTATCTCAAGAATGGAAGAAAAAGTATCCAATGTACACGGCCCTATTATGAAACTAATTTATAGTTTTCATAGGAAAGCTACAACCTAATTATAGCCTTAGAATATGGGGAGGAGGGAGGGAGGGGAGTGGGGGGAGGGAGGGTGATTGGTGGGGTCATCTCTAGGGTTTATCTTACAAGGGTACAAGTGAAGCTTTCTAAAAGCAGAGTATGAATGTCTTAACACAATAACTAAGAAAATGACATGAAGGCTACATTAACCAGTTTGATGAGAGTATTTCAAATTGTATATGAAAACACCACACTGTACCCTGTGATTGCATTAATGTACACAGCTATGATTTAATAAAAAAAAAAAAAGAAACTTCTGAATAAGAAATTTCATTAGGTGTTGAAATGACATAAGACATAGGATATGCTTTCCAGACCTTAAAAAATTAATAACTATGGCCAAATATATGATTCTTTTAAATATTGTTTATTAAAGACCTGCTGTCATAGTTATTTACTCAGAGTTTCATCATTGTCATTAGACAAAGTCTAACTTGTCATACTGGGTGACAAATTAGTGATGGACTATAGATTGAATAAAACTAAAGATAAAAGTTGTAATTATAAGAAGAAAAATTCTAAATTAAAGCATAGAAGGCTACATCAGAATGGGAGTAAGAAACAGTTTCACCTTTGTTCTCACAAAAGAATACTAGATTTCTCGACATATCACTTTAAGTGGTGTCTCAAATATTATATGAAGAAGATTTGGAAGAAACTCAATAAAAGAAATCAATAAAACAGTAGAGAAAATGTGATATTTTAATTTAGTTTACCAAAATTTTCCAGGTGTTAATTATAAAATTTAAAAATTACTTCTCTGGACTCAAAAACTGTCTAAAATGTTGTATCTATGTATTATGAGGCAATGCCTATATGAAAACTTTCTCTAAATATCTACCTGTCATGGTCCATGTTTTCTATATTTAAGGTGTAATTGAATAAATATCATTTTACTTTCACATTTCTATTTTTATTTAACCTAAAAATATATATACTATAAGCCTAACTAAAAGCAGAATATCCTGCTGAAATAAGTCAATGTATTTGTAGAACTAAATGCAATAAAAGATAAAGTCACTTTCCAAACAAATACCTGAAAGTCTTAGTTGAGTCTATTTTACCAAAAATAAGAAAAGTATTGAACAATTGTCTGATAGCTTTCATGAATAGCATGATTTTAATCTCTAATACTTAAAAGTAGAATTCTAGCATTAGCAATTTTGGCAAGTTAAAATTCTGTTTGAGTCAATATTGCATTTTAAACAGGCAAGATGATTTTCAGCAATGGTATAGGGAGTCCCTCATATCACTGTTTGGAATGCACGGTGCACAGAAGACCATAATTAAACAATTTTGTTGTCATTAGTCATGCAGATTTTAGAGAGAGCTTCATGCTTTGACAATGCTTAGCCCAGAACACTGAAAATGTCTTAAGGCAAAGTACGAGTTAAAGATAACAGCACCAAAATGCAAATTCTTCCTTCAGTGCAAAAGCAACCAATCATTTTAGTCAGCCCTATGATAATTTTTTTTAAAAACCTGGTTAATGGTCATTTAGTGATTGAGTGGCTCTATGTAGCCACAGCTCAAAATTAATTTAACATATACATACATTAGTATACCTTTCTATGAATTCATAATATCTATCAGACTTTTGTGAAATAAAATGACAGATTGATCTTTGAGCTCAGCTAATAAAGTGAAATTCAGTAACTTTGCCTCTACAATGTTTGAACCTAACACAAAATCAGTTTTCAAATTTCTTAAAGACATATGCATCAATCCACCACACTGTATCTTTACACATTTAAGTAACTACATAAAAATATTAATAGAAGAAATACAAAATAAACCTTACATCCTATCCTGCTAAAGACATTAAAATCTAAAATAGGTTGCAATATGATGTATAATGTTTCCGGTGTGAATGTTCATCCACTCATTAGATTAGAATACAAATCACCTGGTTGCTGCTAATATTTAATCTGCATCTATGCTGATTAACTTTGTGAGCTGTTATTTTCTTCGATAGGATTGCTTGGTTTCCTAGATAAAAACCTCACCAAAAAGATATAACTTCTAAATCTTCAATGGGTTTTGGAAACAAATTTCTCTGATTCATTCAAATGATGTAAAGATGGCTTCCTTTAAAAGTTATCTCTGCTAACTGTTGTTTGTGTTAGTGGACACATGCCAGTGTACTGTATTGCCATGTATTACTTCGAGTAGTGATCAAATGCATATATAAACAACATTTCAATATATAAATACCATTAAGTAAATTCAAATGGAGAAAACCACAAGAGATTTTTACCTCTACACAAAGTTTGATATAATTTTTCCTCAAAAAAAATCAATACCAAACCAGGAGCATCAAATTTACTCAGATACTGAATTTTATCAAACAGTGTGTAAACCACAGCATTAGCTACGTGAATCTTAGAGAACTCTACTTTGCATGGTATAGGATTCCTTCAGCTGTTACTACAGAAAAGCAGATATAGTTTCCAAATATGCTAAGCAATTACATATTTGGCCTATAAATGCCCTATAAACATTCATATTTCACATTTTTATCCAAATGTCAAATATGATTTTTAAATTATGACATAATTAAAATAAATCATATAAACATAGGGTAGTGCTGGAACACAGAACAGAAGTTAATAGCGTACACTGCTAAAAACCCGTGCAAAGGTGTGAAAGCAAAGTGAGTGGAATTGCCATTAAAGTTTGACTCAGTTCCTTACCTTTCACATTTGATGTGAATGCACAATTCTTGGCCTATCTTATTAAGGACCATTTATTACATACAATGAGCTATTCTGTACTTTCAGAAGAAGTGAAAGGGTTAATTTAAAGCCAATACTCTCTAATAAGTTTTATGTGCTATCCATATTTTTAGCACATAAAACATTTTCTCTAATAGAAATATTGCTATTTAAGAATAAAGAATAAGCCTAATGAAGTATAATTATTTATCATATGAATCCTGTCATTGTTTTTCGAAATCTCCTCACAGAAAAAGTACCAGTCTTATTTCTCTTTCTACTTACCTGCGGGAAATTTTACTTCGGCCAGCACCGAGGCAACCAGCTTCCCTAATTGCCTTTCTGCTTGTCTAAATGCCTATCTAAGCAGTGTATACAGAATGCTAAAAGGAACCATGTCGTCTGACAAGGCAGTGACTTCTCCATGAGTTACCTTACTTTAATGAAATGTACAAGAGCAACAAACCATCCGTCCCCCCAAGTTGTTAGCTGAGATGGACACGTTTTATTTTTTAAGAGGAAATCTTTCTAAAGGAAACACTAGTCCACAAAGCAGACAGCATCAACAATTAGTCACATTAACAGTCAAATCTTTGAGGGGGAGGGAATAAAATCCTAGAACCAAGCAAAGAGCATACTCACATCCCTTTCAAGCGCTGCCACATTTTTTCAGTATGTTCTCCTATAAGATACTTCAAAGTGGTGTTTTCCAGTTCTTCAATTTCTGTAGCACTTGACCCCATGCTGCTGCTGCTGCTAAGACAATACAGTTACAGTCAGTTTCAGCAGCCAGAACAAGCATTCCTCAGGCCACCACAAATCTCCACCAGTTATACAGTAGCATCTCTTATCAAAACAGAGCTGATGTGCAAAGCTGAGGGAAGCCTCCGCCAGAGCCGCTATTGACTTTGACAGGCTCGCATCACCTCCCCCCCGCCCCCACCCCCAGCAGACAGCAGTATAAACAGATGCTCTGACCTCACAGGAGCAAGCCGCACATGGGAGCCTGCTACTGTACTACTGACCGACTGAGTACCCGAGCCCTGCCCAGGAGCAGCTCATCTGTCACTGTTCTGTGCGCTGAAGCACAGAATTCCTACAGTTTACGAGCTCTGCTATGCACAAGACAAACGTGAATGACTTTCGCGCTCCACAAGAGGCTAAATTCCTCCCTACCAACGGAATGCGCGCAGGATGTAATAAGAAAACAGATGGTAGGAAGCAGTATCGGCAGCACCACCCCGAGGAAAAAAGTGCCTGTTTAAATGCCAAGGTTTTTGTCTTTTAATTGATCTGGCTCCAACACTTAAAAATCTATCATGCTCTGACAATAAGTGTAACCGATGTTAATGACAGTGAAGAGAAAATAACATACAGAGCCACACAGAATACAGACCACAGAGCTCCACAGGTTGTTAGTGCAAGAATATGTACATGGACTGCCGCTGCGATCGGGCTCATTCACCTTCTCCTAGCAACTCCACACAGTAGGTAACTGGCAGCTTCACCGGGGGAAACGCGGCAGCTGCACACAGCCTGTTCTCTGAATCCTTTGGGGATTTAAAAATAAATGAAATAAAACGAGCGTAAACGCAAGTGTGCGTGTTGAAGAAAAAGGAGCAGGTGTGTGTGTGTTTATGAGACGGAAAAGCAGAAAGAGGGAGCGGGAGGAGACAAACGGATGCTTTGCTACTTCTGCGTTTGAGAAGAAAAATGAGAGAAAGTGGACATAAAAGGAATCAGAATTGAGTTGTCAGCCAAGCTCCCAACACATGGCAAGCTTTCTTTGAAACATGCACAGACCTTGAGCTCCACAGCAGCTATTGCTGTCTGCAAGCTGCTAAGAAAAATATACTTATAAGCAATATTTCTTCTTGTTTGTTTGGAAACCAAGATGTAGTTTTATTCCTTCCTGCAAGAAAACTTGCCCATTGCCTTGAGTTTTAAGGTAGAGCTATTCAAAGATGACAGACAGGTAGACAGATAGAATATTTATTATTTCCTATGTGTCAAATACTGTTCTCAGGACCTAACACATGTTTCCCTTTTTAATTCTTGCAAAAAGCCTGTGAAGTAGGTAATATCCCCATGTAACAGCTGATGAAACTAAGAATCAGAGATATTCTCTCCGGATGTAATGCCAATCCTTCTAAAGGATACTTCTAGTCAAAGTCCTAAAATATATGTATAAAGTCTCTAGACAAAATTCTATAGAAAATGACTCCTAATTTACAAATAAGAAGAGGTTAAGTCAAGTGAAGCTTCAGTTTTCCTCTCAGACAAGGTATTTCCAGAACTGAATCTGGATTTATAACTAGCAGACAGCTGTATACAGTTAAAACCACATTCTTATGAGCATTTACCAGAGTTGTCAAAAATAACTTAATGTTTCTTTGCTCTGAGAGTACCAATTTTACCTTCACTGTGTCTTCATTTGTAATCTTAGCTACATTCAGTTAATAAACGCTAGGCAGATTTCTCTTTAAATGAGATAGTCAAGAAACATCTGAGTTCAGCTTTCAAAGGTGAATCACAGCCAAACATTATGGTGCAAAGCAGGCACTTTATTATTGTTATTTTATAAGCCAAGATACCAAAATCCTTGAAGCTACAGCCCCTTTCAAGCCACAAATGATGTTCTAAATATGCCATGAAAGTTCAAGCATCCACTCTGGCCAGTTTTAACAATGGAGAGAATGAGTACAACTCAAGGCTACCATTCAAGTACCCTATTAAGTTAATATACCTGAAAACAGGAAAAGTGATTGACCAAAATCAGAGGCATGTTCCTAACCTAGCAGTAGCAATTAGAAACAAAATCCCAGGTTGGCATCTGTCAATAAGGGTTAGGAAGAAATTAGTTCAAATTAGAACAATATATCATAGAGATTTAAAAAATGATGACTTGTAGAAAAAGTGAGTTAAACTCATTAAGAATATTTTTTAAAATAGGCCAGGTGCAGTGGCTCACACCTGGAATCCTAAGCAATCTGGGAGGCCGAGGCAGGTAGATTGCCTAAGCTCAGAAGTAGACCAGTCTGAGCAAGAGGAAGACCTCTGTCTCTAAAAATAGCCATGTGTAGTGGAGGGCACCTGTACTCCCCACTACTCAGGAGGAGACAAAGAGATCCAGCTCTTGAACCCAAGAGTTTAAGGTAGCTGTGAGCTATGACACCCCAGCACCCTACTCAGGTTTAAAAAATGAGACTCTATCAAAAAAAAATTTTTTTTAAAAGAAAGATTGTTTTTAAAATGTAAAAACATTATTTTTAAAAAATAAATAAAAGTCTCAAATTTCAAGGATTCAAATTACACGAGGTATATTCTCTGACCCCAGTGTAATTAAATTAGAAATCACTAAGAGAAAGAGATTTGAAAATTTTCTAAATACTGAGAAACTAATTAATACACTTTTCAACAACCCATGAATCTATGAAGAAATCAAAAGGGAAATTAGAAGTATCTTAAACTGAATGAAAATTAAAACATAACAAATCAAAATTTGTGGGATGTAGTGAAAGCAGTCCCTTGGAGGAAATTTATAGCAGTGAATATCTGTATCAGAATAAAGATCTTGTATCAATAACCTCAGGATTCACATTAAGAAACTTTAAGAGATGGCTCAGCTCCCATACCTCAGTGGTTAGGCTGCCGGCCACATGCACTGGGGCTGGTGGGATTGAACCCTGCCAGAGCCTGCTATACAACAATGACAACAATAACAACAACAACAAATAGCCTGGCATTGTGGTGGGCACTTGTAGTCCCAGCTACTGGAAGCCTGAGGCAAGAGAATCGCTTAAGCCCAAGAGTTAGAGGTTGCTGTGAGCTGTGCTGTGACACCACAGCACTCTACCAAGGGTGACATAATGAGACTCTGTCTCAAAAAAAAAAAAAGAAAAAAACTTGAAGAGAATAAGCAAATTAAGAACAAAATAAATAAAAGTAGGGTAATAAATATCAGAACCAACACAAATAAAGTAGAAAACAGAAATATTGTAGCAACAAAATAAAAAGCTGACTCTTGGAAAAGCTCAATAAAATTGATATAGCTCATCTTATTAATAAATACAATAAGATATTTAAGAACTGTGACAGTTATGAGATTTCACTATTCTTACAAGCTATCAAGTTAGCCCACCATATTTTTCTTTAGAAGACACTCCTAGTATCAGAGATAAATAACCGTATCTATGGCTCATACCAAAAGCAATAGCCAGAGTATCCATATTTTTTTATTTCTATAAGTCCCACAAGATGACATCTCCACTTAGAGTGGGTTCTGCTTCAAGAGAGGAATCTTAAGCTTAGGGAAACTGAATTTTTTAAAATGCGAAGTAAGCATCCCAAATCTTTGCTCCAGGGAAAAGCATTCTCTTTATTACACTTCAGAAGAAGACACAAAAATCTCCAAAAGGGGATTAAGAAAATTATTTGCAGTGCATATTACATAACTAGCAAAGGTTTCATGTCTAAAATATGTAAATAACTCTGAGAAACTGATACAGGACAGGTGGCCCTGAGGGCCCCCCGGTGACTATATATAACCCTAGACAAAGAGCCCGGAGACAGACAGAGAGGGAGAGAGAGAACTTTTCTCTCCCGACTTGGGTTTTCTCTCTCTGTCAGGAGCTCTGGTGTTTCTGTATTCTTTTCTGTAAATAAATCCTGCCTTACCACTAATCTGTGGTCTGTGGATTCATTCTTCAAATCACCCAGACCAAGAACCTACTGAAGATGAAATTCTGGTATCAAAATGCGTTAATAGAAAAATATACAAAAAATATGAACAAGAAAGTAACTGAAGCAGAAACACAAATAGACAATAGGCATGAGAGAAGATATTAAAAAGTAGTAGTATTCTGTGAGAGTTTATAGTGACCAAAATACAGAAAGGAGGTTACTCGGCTCCTTCCCAGCGGGAACAATGTGCTGTTGTATGGCACACTTCCTGTGTATGGCACACTACTTCCTGTGTGTGGTACACTTCCTGTGTACGGTACACTACTTCCTGAGTGAGGGACTTAGATACAACTTAGATTTGCTTTATAAATGTAAACGATGTGAGCTAATTGTATGTACTCTCATATTCATTGGGGAAAAAAATTTTAAATACAGTAACCAGTATATTAAGTAAATAAATAATAAAGTGACCCAATATACCTAGATAGACCTTTCACACCCAACAAGTTTGGGAGAAAAACCGCCTGGTGATACCAGACACTGGTGAGGATGTGAAGTAACATGAGCCTTATTCCTTGCTGGTGTATTAGCAAAAAGCTTTTTGAAAAACAATTTACAGATATCTAGGAAAGCTGAAGGTGTACATACAGTAAAATACTTTCCTAAATGTAGAAATGAGATTTATACAAGAATATAGCAGCCCCACAAATGTCATTTCATTCAACTCCCTTCTATTATAACATTGATGAGGGAAAAAACTGGATTCCCCGCTGGGTCTTGTGCCTGTGCAGAGTTTCCACGTTCTCCCCACGTCTGTGTGGGTCTTCTCCTGGTAATCCGATTCCCCGCCACGTCCCAGAGATGTGCATGTGAGTTTCACTGACCTGTCTAAGGGCCAGGGGTGGAGTGAGCGTGGCAGGAGGGGTGTGAGCGCGCCCTGCCACTTCCTGTCCGGGTCTGCAGCCACGCGCCCCCACCCCTCCACCCCCAGTGAGCTGAGCTGCCGGGATGCACTCCAGCCATCCAGACCCTGAACTGGAGTGAGCAGGTTGGAAAATGAATGAATGAATACAAATTCATTCTGTGAAGCAGACCATAATCGCACAAATGCACAACAATATAAGACATGGTACAAAAGCTCTCTGTGAGCAGCCATGTTGGTTGTAGTTTGTTTTTGAACTGCCTGGTAGGAGGAGGTGTTTATTGTAATTTAAACTTTTCCTTATTTTTTTTTTTTTATTTTTTATTTTTT